TCCTTTTTTTACAAATATGAATGGACACGCTATATAGAGAGCACTTTATGTTGTTGGAGAACACTTTGTTTACGCACTTTGCAAAGATTGATTTTTTTTTTTAAGATTGTCTACATTTCTTTTTCTTCATATTCCCATTTCATTAGTTGAATGGCGGCGGGGATGTAGCGATGCTGGAACTAACAGGACAGAACTTCACTCCAAATTTACGTGTCTGGTTTGGTGATGTGGAAGCGGAGACAATGTACAGGTATATATGGGAATCTAAAATATATAATTATAAAAACTAAAATCTCATTAGTTGAGTTAGTAAAGACTGTATGTGGCAAGTTTAAAAGTTTGTGAATCAGTCATGTCATGGGAAATGTGATTTAAGACAACTAATTTTGACTATTAAACCAGAATGAATGTAGATAAACCGTGCTAAGCAGGGGGTAGTTATTATGTAAAATAGGCTACAAGTGCAATAATATTCATACATACATGTATATGTATATTTCTCATATTAACTCAAATCTAATGTGCACCTCAATTTTTAAACCTGGAAGTTGAAAAATGTTTTCGCTGGCGAATTTAATGCGTATTTGTACAAGAAGATACTACCACACAACATTGTGCATTATTTTTGCAATTTTTGTTTTATAATAGCTGCTTATAACTCAAATTGCTCCTTACTTAATGCAAGTTTATGATCTACTACAGTCATTAAGCAAGGACAGCCCTCTTTCCGAGGTGAAATGTGAAATTCACCAGCGAACTTTCAAATTCATTGGCGAATTATGAAATAATTGCAATAAAGGTGCGTGTTAGATTTGGGTAAATACAGTGTGTGTGTGTGTGTGTGTGTGTGTGTGTATATATATATATATATATATGTATAGAGGGACCGATTGATGTTATTGATATTAAATTCCAAGGATCTCAAAGGAATACACAAACAAGCAAACAATAGTGTAATTTGAAATAATAATGTACTGAAAGTTCTTAAACAAAACAAAATGTCAACTCTTGATTGTATCCCAGTGATATTGGTCAGTACCTAACTGCAGTAGATATTGACAAACCAAGATTTCTGGGCACTATCTTGTATACAATTATTAAATATCGTTTTAGATCACAATTTTTTGATTTTGTGTTTTTCACTTTATGTTGGTGTGCTAGTTTGTACTTTATAGCCCCTATATACAAGGGTGCTTTTTTTAGAGATTTATTAAAAGTGATGTTTTATTTTATTTTCTTCTTTCTCTACTTTGGGATCCAGTCAGTATAAAGTTATTCCCCGGTTGTACCATCAAACTTAACTGCTACCTCCAACTCTTTTCTTTATTCTACTTCAATAGGGGTTATCCCCCATATGGAGGTACCAGCTAGTTAAGGCTCCTCTTTTTCTTTCTCTTCTTTCCTATTTATAATAAGCACTTTATTTAATGAAACAAAGGAAACAAATGCAATATCTTTGCAAAAATTTCAAAATGGGCTATAGCACCACACTTGTGGTGTTTGTAGAATACTTTTTATTATGTATAATTTACAAAAATATAATTTGCCATTGGATTTTTCTTTGTTTTTTACATATTGTGCCACCACTGTATGTGGAGATTATATACCATCACTGGGCACTGCACCATCCACGCTGAGTACAGCAGAGCTCTTAGTAGCTCTTAAAAATGTGAGTTTGACTAAAATCCTCACATTATTATATATATATATGTGTGTATATGTATGTATTATTGCACTTAGTGCACCAGTGAAATTTTCGTTTTGTATGAATGATTTCGTACTAAATAAAAATTTCATTCGTCAATCCCAAATTTCGTCCGCAAACCATTCCTTAAAAAATAATTTGTTTTCGTCCGTTAGGACAAAAATAGTACTACGTATGCACAAAAAAAACCAAACAAAACAACCAAGGAGTGAACCAGCTCCCTCATTGTAATAAATAGCCATTCCTACCCCCTGCATTAAAAACTATGGGGGTCCCTATGACCCCCATATTAATAAAAGGGAGGTTAAATACTCCCATATGCCCTACTCGTGGCATGTCGCCTAAACAGCCAGTGGCTGCGCTGTCATTTAGCACTATATATAAATCAGTATGGCAGTTACTATGACCCCATATTCATAAATGCCAGGTTAAATTCTCCTGCATGCGTAGGGGCATGTCGCCTAAACAAACGTAAAACTACTAGTGACAGGGCAGCTATTGCTGCCCAGTCACTAGTACAATAAGGGGGTACCTGGCACAGGTTAAATCCTGCTGCATGCCCCTACCTGTGCCAGGTCCCCCCCGTCTAGGGGGCATGTCGTCTAAACAGTGAGCAGCCAGTGGCTGCTTGCTGTCATTTAAAAATGGATATAAAAATCAGTATCTTATATAGAAGTGAGAGAGAGCTACGGTAAGAGTACGTGTAACCAATAGTTATAGCAAAAACTATAACAATGTTGCAATATGAAAAAGTAGCTATTTAGATCAGTAACACAATAAGGCTGTGCTACTGATCTAAATAGCTACTTTTTACACTTACTCTTACCATACTCTTTACACCTCTATTCAAGATACTTTTATATCCGGTTTTAAATGACAGCGAACAGACAGTGGTTGCTTGCTGTCATTTCAAACTAAATATAAATCAGTATGGGGGTCACCATGACCCCCATATTGGTAAAAGGGAGGTTAAATCCTCGTGAATGCCCCTACTCACGTCATGTCAACTAAACAGCGAGCAGCTCGCCGTCATTTAAACTTCTAGTGACTGGGCAGCTATTGCTGCTCAGTTGCTGGTGCCATAAGGTGGGACATGGCACAGGTCCCCCCAATACCCTCATGGTGGGGAACACAACTAAAATGGGGGGGACAGTGACCTTCGGGTGTGGGCTATTAATATAAACAGGAGGACCAAATGGGCGTCATAGTGACCTCCATCATGATTTATATTTAGTGTTTAGGCGACATGCCCCTACTCGCGGCATGCCGCAGGATTTAACCACCCTTTTATTAATATGGGGTTCATAGTGACCCCAATAGGTTTTAATGGGGTGGGAGGGGGGAGCTGGTAGTTTTTTTGTTTGTTTGTTTTTTTCACGCATGCGCAGTTATTTTCTCCATGCTGTGGGGGTTAATTCCTCTGAAGCACAGAGTCTATTAAACGGACAAAACGAAAAGGTAATGCATTCTGCATTTGCCGTTTCGTTTCGTTTATATTTTGTTTGTAGGGCTTTCGTTTACATTTTAGTAAACGAATACGAAAAAAAACAGAAATTCCGGACGAAATCGTATGTGTACGAAAACTAATGCACATGTCTATTACGTAATAATTTACCCCCTCTGTGCCACGGTTTCTCTGCAATGTGTTTGGGAATCCTCGGTTGAATTACTACTGCCATCTCGTATTGATTATTATGAGTGCCTAAAAACACATTTATTCTTTTTTTTTTTCCTTTAATTTTGTTGTACTTGAGTATAATAAAGATAGCACATTATACACTTTGAAGATTGCAATAAGATGAAATAAGATAAAAGTGTATATGTACAAAGCAAATTTTGAGGAAAAGAAAAGTGAGTAAAACATTAGTAGTCATTCTAGAGGGGACAGCATATTTGTTTTTGTAAATTCAAGATGAAGGCAAATCAGTACAGTGCTAGAGTTGTGAACAGGAGAGAAACATCCTGAAATGAAAGGAGATGCTAACTAAAAACCAATTTTTTGTTGACTCTCTTTAGATATTTAAGGTTTTCAAATTTGATTATTTTTTTTCTTCTATTGTTTCCTAATAATTTCAACAAATCTATTTTTGTAATGCTTCACATAATATTTTGAGTTCTTCAGTTGTGCGCTTTCCTACTGTAATCCAAATATGTCACCTGTGGTTCTGTCTCATCCCAGTTGCCTCCTTTTTCATGGATCTGTCCTCCCTCCCCATGTAAATAGGAAGTTTACTGAATACTTTTTCAAAGAATAATTACATTTGGAGAGTGCACACTGAGACCACTGATGGCAATATGAAGCAATGTTTTGTGGAAAATATTGTCATGTAATTGCTTTTTCTAGAAGGTGCCATGATCGCTTTGTTGTTTTTCCCCAGATGTGCAGAGACTATGTTGTGTGTTGTTCCTGACATTTCTGCTTTCCGAGAAGGTTGGAGATGGGTGCGTCAGCCAGTACAAGTGCCGGTTACATTGGTCCGAAATGATGGCATAATTTATTCCACCAGCCTTACTTTCACATATACGCCAGAGCCTGGACCCAGACCACATTGTAGTGCAGCTGGGGCAATCTTACGAGCCAATTCAAGTCTTCTGGCCTCCAACGAATCCATTATAAACATTGATGGAACTTACGCAAATTCAACCAATGTCACATCATCCACGGCAGCAGTAGTATCCTAACCACAGACTTTTTGCACCTGGACTTAAGCTAACTTTTTATGTTTTTACATGGAAGGACATGTATAATATTTTTTTTTTTCCATCTTGTATTTTTATTTTGTGCTTTTGTGGGAAAATGTCTCTCCATTCTAGTTCATATTGCCTGGATCTTGTGAACGGCAAGTACCGAGCAAGAAGTAGAAGCCACAATAATGAAAGGGAGAGGGGGTGGGAGGGAGGGATATGCAAGTGTATGATCTCCCTGAAGGTCTCTTTTGGCTGTGTGTTTATTTAAAAAAAAAAATTGGCATGAAACAGAAAATGTGGCTGTGAGGGGAAAAATAACAGCTAGAAAGCATGAGTATAACATAGTTTTTACGGACCAATACACTTGTATAAGCTTTAGTAAATGGTATATTTTCACCATACCTTTTTGTATCACAACATATACTAGTTTTGTTACCAAATAGGCTTTTTTTTTTTGGGTCGGGGGAAGGGTTCCGCTTTGAGCTTTTTTTTTTTCTTTTTTCCCCCAGGTATAATCTGGTTCCAAGCCAGAAAATACTTGTCATTCAATTACAATACTCTTCCAGTTAGAAAGTAAAAAAAATGTTAAATATCTATTATTATTTTTTTTTTTTTTTGGTCAAAGGCTGGAAAAGTGTTTTTTATTTCTTCTTTTAATTGAATGGGTTTTTGTTTTTTTTCTACCATAGAACCTTTTCTTGGCCATCATATAGTTTGTTTTTAAGATTTTATGAAAGTCAGTGCTAAAGCTTTAAAAAAACAAAAACAAAAAAAAATGCCTCTACCTTGCCTGCAATACGAACAGTATATGTCAATAGTGCCCGGATTTTAGTCTCTTATATTCTGTTTTCTATTGTTCTATGTAGTGTTATCCCTATTTTTCTTTTTTTTGTCTCTAGCCTCTTCATTGGACTGCTCTTGAGCACCTTGTTAGGCTGCTGACAGTGAAGATGTTAATGTATTTATAGAGACTCTCTGTGGTCCCAATGTACCTGTAAACATACATGGCATTTAAACAATCACATTCATATCCTGCTACTCCATATTAGCAAAACATACAGATATTTTATTTATTTCTTTTTAAAATCAAGATCATTTTTTTTTGTTTTGTTTTTTTGTGGTTCTGTTCAGGTTTTAAAATCTTGTACATAACTTGTATTAAGTGTAAGTTAAGTGTTTTTATAACCTTTTTTTAATTATTATTTTAAAGGTGATATTTTCCCATTAGATGTCTCTGTTTATCTCCATTTTTGGGCTCTGGAGATTAGAATTATGAGATATGTACAATTTAATGCTGGGATTATTTTAGAAAGAAACCAGTCCCTTCATAATTCTATTTCTTCACTGTTTAAAAAAATAACTTTTGTAAGATAGTACATATTACTTCTTATCTGACGTTGTCAAGAGTCCGTTAATACACACCCTCCTGGAAACTAGTATGTGGCATAACGTGACACATCATACACTTTACTAGAAAGGCCAGTAATTTGCACTCTCTTGCCAAAGAAGCGAACTTCGGCAGGGCTGGACATTCTGCCAAGAGAGATTTGCATTTTGCACAGGGCCTACATTAGGTAACATGCATGGTATGTTGCCGTTTGATGCCATCATGCATGCACTTGGGATTTTAGGAGGCAGGTGTATTGAGCTCCTTACAACTGAGCAGATGGGGGTTGCTATTTTTTAATATATTCCTAACAGCAATTCATTTTAACATTGTAGAAAGAGAAGAGAGAATTAAATTGATTTTGAAATAAGCTTTCTTATTTCAGCTTCATTTTAAACAGCTTCGCCTCCTGTCTAGTCAGTTTGTGGTTGGACGCTGCTTATTTTTTTTACTTACATTTTTTTTATAATAATTAAACATCGATAACTTTTTACACGTGATCACAGCCCAGTTCATCTTGCTTCATTAACCCATTTCAGTGGCAGACATAAAGGCAACTCATATCGATGAGTTGTTCCCCCTCTGGTGCTTGAACAGTTACAGATGAGTAAGCTCACCGTGCATTCCAAAAAGCCAGCTGATTTTTTTTTTTTTTTGTAAAGAGTTTAGAGTACAGTTGATTGTCGTTCAGTGCCAAAGGTGGCGAGACAGGTGGCATTGCTGCTGCTGTAAGTCAAACATATGAACGAGAAGAATGCTGCCTTCATTACACATTTCAGCTGTTATGGCCAAATATTACTCGTGTGAAGCTGAAAGGATAGCATCCTTCTGTGAGCAAGCAAACCTCTGATAAAATCATCAAAAGGCTAGTCTAGAAATGGTGCTTTAACTGGAGTGATATTTCTAACGACCGGTAACTGTTAGATAATGCAAATCATAGAAAAGATATAAACCCTTTTTTAACGTTCATTCTAAGTAACTCAATTTAGGTCAATACCGTGATGTGACAGCGCTTAGGTTTTTGTAGCTTAGTCCAGTTTAAGTGGAATTTGGGATGTTTACCTAGAATACTGAGCCTGACATTGTTTCACAATTTGCCTTTTATCTGCATGTGTCTCATATAAGGCAGCTGATGACTGCATATTGCCATATAGAAGAGCCAACAGTCTTTGCTGTTCTGTCTGTGAGTGAGTAGTGTCTATCCTGTCTGTGTCCCCCTTTACCTTTGCGGGAAGCTATGTTAAATGTCCAGCTCACGTGACTCTAAACCTGAATTTTTGCTAGCCACGTAGCATTATGTGCCTTTCAGGTTTGCTTCTTCGCTACATTAACCAGCAGAAAATATCACCCGCAGACATTATGAGTGCTCTAAGAGCACAGTCTTTTCTAAATATTGCAAATGCAGTTAGGTATTTTTTTTTCTCTCCTTGTTTCATATTTAGAATTTTTTGTTTTGTTGTTCATATGCTGTTTGTGTATACCCCTGCCAAAACACTATAATACCACTTCACTACAGCTGTGAAAAAAATCCTGGTAAAGACATAATGTAGGAAATTGCTGGGAGGCTTTATTTCTCACCATCCCAGGAAAAAAAGTGGTTATGCTGTAAGCCTTTTTCTTAATGTCTTGTCTTTTTTTATATACCATTTGTATAGAAACTGAAGCTGTTTTTTTTTGTGTGTGTTAGCTTTTAGTAAAAAAAAAAAAAATAATAATAATAATCGGAAAAAAAAACATCAAAAAACTGCCTTGCCTCATCTCTGTTAGTGACCAAGAACAGAACTCATTGTGGCCTTATCTCTTGGTTTTCCTTGCTGTAAATGGTTTACTGGAAGTTACAATAATTTTTTTTGTCTTGTCTTGTCTGTTAATTGTGCTTGTAATGTATTACAGTAATGTCTGTTGTCAGCGTCTTGACAGTGCCGCTTTGTTGATTCAATGCCACATCTTGCTTTTGTATAATGATTTATGACAATGGAAGTATAAGTTACCAAAGTATAAAGTGTGTTTTTCTTCTTGCTGTGCAGCCATTTATGTGTGACCAGTAAAAAAAATTATTTGTTGGTGTGGGAAGACCCACCTTATTTAAACCGTTTAAAAAAACATGGAACAACCCTATTGGCGCTTCACAAATTGTGTGAAATAATTGACTTCACCAGCAAACTTTTTTCCACCTAATATCCCATCATTTTGGCTCAAACACTACGAGAACTAATTGTCTAATGATTGTTGTGCTTATCTGTACATACATTATTAAAGCTGTATTTCCAGAGTTGTCTTCCACAGCTTTGTAATTGTCTGAGCATTGTACCGTATATCGGTAAAGTTAGCTCCTTGTTCTGTAATGTCTGCAACAGTACTGTAAAATGGTGCAGTCTCATCTTTGTGCAATGTTTTTTAGGTTTGAATTTATCATCTAATGAAACCTCTTTATAAAGCTGGTTGAAGAAGTTGCATTTCGTCCAGACAGATTTGTTTTACTGTATTGGCATTGTCCATATTTTTTGTCTTCTCTCTTTTATGATGGGCCCTTGCTGTCTACTAAGTCAGAAGTAAATACTTTCTATGTGGTTTATTTGATAGAAGTGGGGGTTTATATACCCTAAATTAGGTTATAAATCCCAGTTATAAAGGGACAGTAACATTATTCAAAATGCGGCATTAATACATCTTAATCTATATAATGGCAAAATTATATAGCTCTTATAATGCAGAAATATTCAGTCACATTTTTATTTTGTCTTTCTATGATCCTAGAGACTTAAAGGAGTTAACTCGCACTTTTTGCTGTATAAGATAGTGTGCTTGAAATTACATAAACTTGGCTTTTCTTACTTTATTTAAAATAAATTATATAATTGAGCAATGCTGCAGATATTTAGCTTTCAGTTTCTGTAAAATAAAACGTCAAAACGCCCCAAAAGTTTACTGTCCTTTTAACTGGTAATTTGCCCTGTAATTACTGTGTACACATAATAGATGACAAACTGTTTATACCAAATAACTCTGCAAAGATCTGTGTATATTGCTTTCTTTTTTTAAATTATGTCTAGCTATGTGTTAACTTTCTTTTCTGTTGCGGCTGTGTTTATGTTGAGTATTGAACAAATGTTTTTTTTTTTTGTTTAATTTTGTTGGGGTTTTTTTTTTTTTTTGTGCCAGACTCCTTGTTTGTGAGCACTACAGTGTGGGTTTGAATGACTGCTTTGTTAAATGCATTATCCCTATGAGTCACAGAGGGTTGAATTATACACCCTCTAAGCAGTCAGGGGGCTAATGGGGTTGCTGGTTAACCCTTTAAGAACTGAATCTTATTACTTGTTCTTGAGTTTATTTTTATTTTTACATAGTTCCTGCAAGTATCGCCTTCAGCCTCTTACTAATGTCTTGTGTATAGCTTATATGTGCTGTTAAATGAGGCCAGCTTTTTACTTTCAGTCCTTCAAGGGTTATATTGTTAAACTGTGGTTCTGGTTTCTTAGCAATAAAATAAAGAATTCAGCAACTTTTTAACATATTTTTATTTTTTATTTTATTTTTTTTTTTAGAAAATCTGCTCAGTTACATTTTCATCAAGGAAAAAAATAAATCATGCAATATGGGCAGTCTCGATAAATAAAAAGTAAAAATGCAAACCATTTTAAGTCTTCTTACTCGTACTATTATTCCACAAAACCAAATATTTTGTAAGATGTTGCAAGTCATATTTACTTTTAACAGAATCTCAAATCAGCTGCACCCTTTTTCCCCCCTCTCCTAAACATTGGCAGGAAGGTATCATTTTATATGATTCTTTTTAATCATGTAACTGTATATTTTATTTGTGTATATATTTTTTATTTTGGCAATTTTACACATTAAATTTTGTTAACACTATAATTCCACAATGAAGTGTTATATTCCTTTCAAGGTACATTTAAGCATGCTGACTATTAATGCTAATTAAACATGTATTTGAACTGATTTACAAAAACTGTTGGAAAAAGACAACCTGGATTACCCGCGATAATAATGGTCCGCTGCCTGTATGAAATTCTTATTCCGTTCCAGATAGAAATCCTTTGAGACAGATTGCTGCAGTTTAAAGGGACACTATAGTCACCTGAACAACTTCAGCTTAATGAGGTTGTTCAGGTGAGAACTATAGCTCCCTGCAGCCTTTCTCATGTAAACACTGTATTTTCTGAGAAAAAAACAGTGTTTACATTGAAAGCTAGGAACACCTCCAGTTGCAGAGGGACTTCGGAGTTGATGGAGGCATAATATACCTCCATCCACTCAGATCTGCTGTCAGCAGAGCACAGGGCAGCACTGTGCACAGCATCCTGTGATTCAGTATCTCCTCCTGCATGCAGACACTGATCTTTCCTCATAGAGATTCATTGATTCAATTCATCTCTATGAGGAGATGCTGATTGGCCAGGGCTGTGTTTGAATCGTGCTGGCTCTGTCTCCTTGTCAGTCTCAGCCAATCCTATGGGGAAACACTGTGATTGGATCAGGCTACCACATGTCAGCAGACTGCTTGTTTTCCCGAGTCTAACAGCATGAGGGGCCCAGGGGGGCTAGATAATGGTGTTAACACTATAGGGTCAGGAATATTTGTTTGTGTTCCTGACCCTATAGTGATCCTTTAAGGTGATATTATTAACCAATCAGTATTGGACTGCCAATTTATTTTATTCTTTCTGTTTTCCTTTGAAAGTTTATGAGCAATTTAAAAAAATATAAACTTGATATATAAGATGCTATTGGTATTACTTTACTTTAAATTTGTCTATTATTGAGAACAGGTTCCTTAAAATGGTTAGTGCTACAAAAGTTGCTACACAGAAGTCCAATTTATTGCCCCAATACTTTGCCCTTTGTTAACATGTTGATTGAGATATTATGCTTCTCTGGTAATTAAATACAATTTTACAAATTACTAGAATCAGTGCCTTCAGGGGATGAGGAAACCATTGTTTATTTACTGTGGAATTATTTAATGTTCTGGAGTAACCACACATGTGCTTCCTGGGGCATTTTTTTTTTTTTACTACTTATTGCTTGCCAAACGCAGGAATTACACCATTAACATAATGCAAGCATGACTTGTATTATAAGATGAGTCGAGAAATAGTCCATTAAATAAACATCCACTTTACTACATACTTTGATTATTATGATATACACCTAACTGGGCAGGTAAAGTGTTAACAAGTACATAGGATGAGTTTTGTTGTCCTTTTTTTGTATAGGTAAGCATTTAAATCTTGGAACTGAATATTTCACCACGTGTAGCCGCTATGTTTCATCCATGTCATATGCAAATAAAACAGATGCAATAAGATTTGCTTTCCATACCTGTCGTTCCCAAACGGGACTTTAAGGCACACCAATAGTCCTAGTTTTTCCACTATCTCTATGGGAACAGCTTTGGGAAATGTCTCAGTCCAAAATTGTTAATGAAAATGATGACTTGGACCTGCAGAGCATGACTTAGTCTTGCAGGGTAATTTGTGTTCACAATATCAAAAATTAGCCCACAAACAAGCTGTGCATATTTAGAACTTCTGCATTCTTAACTTTGAGAAATGATTAAGATAATTTGATACAGAAGCTCATTTTGTGGATATGAATGATTTTTTTTTTTCTTGGTCATACAAATTTTGCCTCTGTATTTTTCCTACCTTGATGGAAGCATTTTGGCAAGCCCCTAGCTGTCACCAGTGACCGCTTTAGGGAGGTTGGGGGAAGCTGACTCTCTATGTAGGGTCTCACATGATCCTCCATAGACCTCAATTCTGTACCGTCACACAAAAGTACTGCGCTGATGTAAGCTGCTGTTTCCAGGTAAGTATAATCTACCTTCCCCTGCTCCCTATGGCAACCGGACACCTAGTGATGATGACACCATTGGAGTTCTTTGCAAATTATGCAAAGTCCCCAGACACTGTCAGATTCACTTTAAAAGATTACACTGGAAAAATTGAGCTATAGACACAATTCTACTTCGTATCTGCTGCATGCTTAAAGGACACTCCACGTTCCAAATGGGCAAAAAAAAGAAGATATCACGGTTTAGTGGATATATACCCTCAATGAAAGATTTTTTTCATGCATGTATTTATTAGGGGTATATTTTCAAAGAGCATGCAAAAACCTTAGCAAGCCCTCCTCTTTTCCCCATAAAAATACTTTGTCTCATCATGGGGAAAGAACCAATCAGAGGCTTCTCATTGAAAAGTGGAGTGGTCCTCTAACAAACTACACACACAAAAGGTTGGATCTATGGAAAGTTGAAGAGGTGAAAATCTCTCTTACACACCCCATTAAAACAGCCTGCTTAATAAAGCATGTTGCCCTCCTGCTGTAAAAACATGTCTGGTGTGTTGGGGCATGAACTCCACAAGCCTTCTGAATGTGTCCTGTGGTATCTGACAACCAGACATTAGCAGCAGATCCTTTGAGACATGCAAGTTGTAAGGTGGGGCATCCATAGATCAGATTTGTTGTTCCAGCACATCCCACATATGCTCAAGCAGATAGATATCTGAGGAATTTTAGAGGCCAAGGCAACACCTTGAGCTCTTTGTTTCTCAAAACATTCCTGAATAAATTTTGCGTGTCAGTGTCAGGGTGCAATATCCAGCTGAAAAAGGCTACTGCCATCAGGTAACATCATTGTTGCAGATGACGTACACCCCTTCATGGCAATCTCGAGGTAGGTGCTACGTGTCAAATTAGTATCCACCTGAATGCCAGCCTACTTTCTTCCCACAGTGCATTCTGCTGCCATCTCTTCCCTATGTAAAAAATGCACTCCCCTCCAGCCAACTACCTGATCAAAAAAATCATGATTCATCAGAACAGGAAACTTTCTTCCATTGCTCTATACTCCAGTTCTGATGCTTAATTCCCCACTGAAGGTCCTTTCAGTGGTGAACAGGGGTCATCATGGGCACTCTGGTGGTCTGCAGCTACGCAGCAAACTCAAGCACTCTGTATTCTCACATTTTTCTACCAGGCCAGCATTAAGTTTTTCAGCAATTTGACCTTTTCTCAAATGTGCTAGCTCCTCATATGCATTAATGAGACTTTGGCGCCCATGACCCTGATGCCAGTTGCAGTGTGTGTGTGTGTAGTGTGTATATAATGAATGCAGTGTGTATAGTGTGCGTAAAGTGAATGCAGTGTGTGTGTGTAGTATGTGTATATAATGAATGCAGAGTGTTTGTAGTGTTTATAGTAAATGCAGAGTGTTTGTGTAGGTATGTGATGTGTGTAAAATGGGGGGGTGGCTTATTTTTTTTATTTTTTTTTAATATTACTTTTTTTTCAGTCCTTTCTCCCTGCTTCTTACTTGGCATGGGAGGGGGGGGGGATATGGCATTCCCTGGTGGTCCGGTGGCATGGACTGTGCAGTGGGGGCCCGCAGCAAGCTCTTATAGCTCTGGTTATACCACTGGACCACTGACACCTACCTGCATTTATTTTAACTTTTGAAGTTGTAATACAAACCCCAAGTTCCTTGTAGCAACTCCCTCCCAGTACGAGCGATACTGAAATACCTCCATCCAGCCCCCAGCAACACTGGCACTGTGAAGTTCGTTTGTAGCTCCGATACTTGCGGGAGGTGTAGTAATTGCATCCTGCGTACATGATATGTTTTGTCAATACAGGGCTTCTTCAGATATGTGTGCCACTCACTGTGCATCATATTTAAGTCCAACTTATGGGCTTACAACAAGCATGTCAAACTCGCGGCCCACAAGGACCATCTTTGCGCCCGGCGAGCCACAAGTACATGCTGGTGTTATAGCAGAGTAGGCACCTGCTTTCCCTATATTGCAGGTGCCTACTCTGCTAACACTTACCCAGCCAGGAAGGAGGGCCAGCGGGGGAGCTCAGTGTTCCTGTTCCTTACTGCTACCTTGCGTGCAACGTCTGTAGTGAAGCCGGGCGCTGGAATATGACGTCATATTCTGGCACCCGGCATCACTAAACCATGCAAGGGAGCAGTGAGGAGCAGATAGAAGGGCCCCACATCTGCTCCAAAAGGTAGGGAGCAGTAAAGTATGTGTGTGCAAGAGTGAGTGTCTGTCTGTCAGTGTGTGTGTGTGTGTGTGTCTGTCAGTGAGTGTCTATGAGTATGTGTGTGTGTCAGCGGGAAGATCAGATTTGGCACAGGGTAGTAGAGGGGAATGCTGTTTTTTTTTTTGTTTTGTTTTTTTAATACTGTTCTTTTTAAAATAATCCTAAATTTCTATGAAAATTTAAGGTTTGTTTTTTTGCCGCCCACCTAAACTTAAACTTTGTTTATGTGGCCCGTGCCAGACTTTGTTTGACATGCTTGGCTTGCACCATCATAGAAGTCTGGTAATGCAGCCCGATGATTGGATCTTCCACAAAACCACAAATTAAAGGAACAGATAATTGATTGCCATAAGTTTAATCATAATAATGGCAGGGCCATCTTTAGTATAGATTGGGCCCATGGCAAGCATTTAATGGGGCCCCGTGACCCCCACTAGCTGACATGCAATCACACTCTCCACTTCCCAACGCAGTAGCGGAACCATTTTCCCATGCTTGCAGAGTTGTATTTAGCACTGAGCTGTGTTTGTGTGTTTGAATGGGAGCATGTTTTTGTATGGAGTATGTTTGTGTAAATGTAGGGGTGTGTTTGACACGCACAGACATAATGACATACAAAGACACCGTGATAGACATACTGACACACACACAGAAATGGTGACACACAGACACCCTGACAGACATACACACATACATACTGACACACATGCAGCCCTATCTTCTGGGTTCAGGAGGGTGGTTCCCTGGGGTCCAGTGGCAGGCTGAGGTAGTTGGGAGTGTGAGGCACTGGTACTCCAGATCCCTCCTGACGGCCTTCTTCTCCATCCCTCGTAGCTTCATTCTATCTGAGGAAGTAACTCACGGCATTCACTTCCTCCCAGTCTGCTTTCGTAAAACAAGGGGGCCTGGTCGTGCTGTTAAAGGGCCACAGCGCCCGACCGGGCCCTCTTAGTGTGAGGGC